TGAAGATTTTAGCATCTATGTTCATCAAGGATATTGGCCTGTTATTCTCTTTTTTCATAGTGTCTTTATCTGGTTTTGGAATTAGGGTAATGCTGGCTTCATAGAAAGAGCTTGGAAGTGTGCCTTCCTATTGAATTTTTTGAAATAGTCTGTGGAGGATAGGTTTAAGTTCTTCTTTTAATGCTTGGTAGAACTCCCCTATAAAGCCATCTGGACCAGGGCTTTTGTTTGCTGGAAGATTTTTGATCACTGCTTCAATTTCTTTGGTAGTCATAGGCCTATTCAGGTTTTTTAAATTCTTTTTTATTGAGTTTTGGAATCTTGTATTTTTCTAAGAATATGTCCATTTCATCTAGGTAGTCCACTTTGTTGGAATAGAGTTGTTCATGGTATTTTTTCATAATCATTTGTATTTCTGTGGGATCGGTTGTTACTTTGCCTCTTTCATTTCTAATTTTGTCTATTTGGGTCCTCTCTCTTTGTTTCTTGGTGAGCCTGGCTAGAGGTTCATCAATCTTGTTTATCCTTTCAAAGAACCAGCTTTTGGTTTTGTTGACCTTTATTATTGTTTTTTTGGTCTCTATGTCATTATCTCCACTCTGATCTTTATTTTTTCCTTCCTTCTGCTTACACTGGGATTTTCTTATTGCTCTCTTTCTAATTCTTAAGTTGTAGGGTTAGATAATTTATTACCATCTTTTCTTGTTTTTTGAGATAGGCCTGCAAAGCTTTGAACTTCCCTCTCAAGATTGCTTTTGCTGTGTCCTATAGAGTTTGGATGTTGTGTTTTCATTGTCATTTGTTGTCATGATACTTATTTCTTCCTCGATCTCTTTGGTAACCCAATCATTTTTTAAAAGCATGCTATTTAGCCTCCAGGTGTTTGATTTTTAAATTGTTTTTATTGTAGTTGATTTCTAGTTCTATGCCATTGTGATCTGAGAAGATGCTTGATATGATTTCTATCTTCTTGAATTGGAAGAGACATTGCCTGTGCCCCAATATCTTTGAAAATGACCCATGTGCACTTGAGAAGAATGTATATTCTGTGGCTTTAGGTTGAATGTTACGAAGATGTAAATTCCATCTGATCTAGTGAGTCATTTAGGATTGCTGTTTCTTTGCTGATTTTTTGTTTAGGGGATTTTTCCAGTGGTGTTAGTGGGGTACTAAAGTCCCCTACTATGACAGTATTGCTGTCAATCTCTCCCTTGATATTCTCCAGAAGTTTTTTATGTATTTGAGTGCTCCTATATTGGGAGCCTATTTGTTTACCAGAGTTATATCTTCTTGCTGAATTGCTCCCTTTAGTATTATGAAGTGGCCTTTCTTATCTCTTGTTATGGCCTTCACTTTGAGGACTAATTTGTCAGATATAAATATTGCTACCCCAGCTTTTTTTTTTCACTTCCATTCGCCTGAAAAACCTTTTTCCAACCCTTCACCATCAGTCTGTGTGAGTTCTTTGTTCTAAGGTGGGTTTCCTGTAGATAGCAGATATATGGTCATGTTTTCTTATCCACTCAGCTACCCTATGTCTTTTGATTGGGGCATTTGATCCATTTACATTTAAAGTGATTATTGATAGGTACTTGTTTGTCGCCATTTTTAGTCTTTATGCCTGTGTTCCTTCTTCTCTTCCTATTTCTTCTTTTTATAGCAGACCCTTTAGCATTTCTTGCATTGTTGGTTTGGTGGTAATTAACTCCCTTAGTCCTTTTTTGTCTGTGAAGCTCCTGATTTCACCCTCAATTTTAATTGATAGCCTTTCTGGATACAGTATTCTTGGATTTAGACCCTTGCTTTGCATGACTTTATATATTTCATTCCATTCCCTTCTGGCCTGATATGTTTCTGTTGAGAAATCAGTCAATAGTCTGATGGGAGATCCTTTGCAGGTAACTTTCTGTCTCTCTCTGACAGCCTTTAAGATTCTTATTTTGTAGTTGGTGTTTGCCAGTTTAATTATAATGAGTCTTGTTATCGATCTTTTGGGGTTCATCTTGTTTGTGACTCTGTGAGCTTTATAGATTTGTGTGAGCTTTTTCTTGCCGATATCAGGGAAGTTTTCTGTCATTATTTCTTCAAACATTATTTCTTCAAACAGGTTTTCTACTCGTTGTTCAGTTTCCTCTTCTTCTGGCACCACTATTATGCGGATGTTGCTTCATTTCATGTTGTCCCAAAGTTCCCTTTGGTTCTCGTCCTGTTTTTTAAGTTTCTTTTCTAGATGCTGCTCTGCTTGGGTATTTTTTCCTACCTTGTCTTCTAGCTCACTGATGTGGTCCTCTGCTTCTTCTAGTCTACAGTTGATGCTTTCTATTGAGTTCTTTATTGCAGCAATGTTATTTTTTCATTTCTTCTTGGTTCTTATAGTGATGGCGAACCTTTTGAGATCGGCATGTCAGCATTTTGAAAAACCCTAACTTAACTCTGGTGCTGTGTCACATATAGAAATTTTTTGATATTTTGTAACCAAAGTAAAACAAAGACATATTTTTGATATTTCTTTTATATAGTTAAAAGCCATTTAACAAAGAAAAATCAACCAAAAAAATGAGTTCGCATGTCACCTCTGAAAGGCGTGATATAGGTTCGCCATCACTGTTCTTACACATAGTGTTGAATTTGTCTTCTATCCTTTTCAGTGACCTTATGACCACTTCTCTGAATTCTTTCTCTGTCATATTGTTTGCCTCCATTTCATTTACTTCTTCTGGTAATTCCTCCTTTCTTTTGTATGAGGGCTGTTTCTTTGTCTCCCCATGATTTCTCCTCTCAGGGTTTCTGGTTATGTAGCTCTCTCTCTCCTGCACTGACTTTTAGGCAATGCCAGCTGTGTTTACTTTGCCAGCTCCGGCTGGGTGCTCTTTGATTCAGCTGTTCCTTCTGCTCTGTGAGAAGGCACAGGGCCTGTCCGTCAGTTCGCGCATTTGTCTCCCCCTGAGAAGACCTGCCAGGTGCCCGTGGTCAGGGAGGTTGGAGTTCTTCCATTCCTAGATTTGCAGCTGAGATAACTGGTCCCTGGACGTCTTGGTTTTAAGGTCCTGGGAGGCATCCGAGATCTCCCCATTTGAAGGTAAGGCTGGGGTTCTGATCACAGTCAATCTCCAATCACAGCCATCTCCTCTTAAAGATGGCACAGCCTCTGCGGGACCGCCGGCCACTCCAGAAGAGATTTCAGCCACAGTAGAGGCTGCCCAATCATGGGAGGCCGGTCCGCCAGTCCCCAAGAATCCCCTGGAGTATAACTGAACCTTGCTCACAAATATTGACACTCCCTACACATCCACGCACCCTCCTTTCGTTCTCTCACTCTCACACTATCTAGCAGCCTGCAGTCTCGTAGGCAGTCATCTTACTTCTCCTATTTGTTTGTTTTGTTAATCCTCACCTGAGGATATTTTTTTCAGAGAGAGTGGAAGAGAGGGGCAGAGTCAGAGAGAGAAACATCTATGTGAGAGAGACACATCAATTGGGTGCCACCCACACACCTCGACCAGGCCAGGCATTGAGCCTGCAACCCAGGTACTTTCCCTTGACCAGAATTGAAACCTGGACTCTCTAATATGAGAGATGATGCTCTAACCACTGAGATAAACCAGTCAGGGCAGTCAAGCATCTTTTATCTGAAAGTTTTGCTAGCTCACTTAGGCTGATTATCGTTAATTAAGTCAACTTAGACAATAACACAAGGGGAGGTGTGAGTGTGAAAAAAATAATGCATCCTATATGAAAACAAGAGGCAACAGACGCCTCTAGATAAATGTTAATAACTTCATTATCATTTCTCTGCATGTGAGCATTTGACCTAATTCACCTCCTGTAAAGACTGGGAATGCGAGCATTAGTCCCCAAACACTAGTATGGCTGCATGTGCACATTTTGTTTTTTTGCGTTTCAAGGGACACACCAGGTCCTGAAATGGTGAATGTCACTCATAAAGGTGTGTGCACAGGTCACAATCAGGAGGCAGCTTGTCACGGGCCCTGGTGCTGTCAGGGGCGCCCCTGAGAGGGCATGAGTGTCAGGCCTGGGCTGGACTTCAGGAAGTCCTGGTGTCCTTCATAAAATTTAAATTCTCAGGGTGCACCTTTGGCAGGTTTATAGGTGTCATGTAAAACATGATATTTAAAAGTAAATTAAAAACTAAGCCAAGTTTAAGGCAAGTAAGATGCACTTCCCCCCTCTCCCAAACCTTAACATCTCTGAAATCAAGATGCAGCTTTGAGCCTGCCTCACAGTCACTGTCGGCCAGGTGGCAACTGTGACAAAATAGTCACTGCCACAACCCGTTTATCTTCTTCTTATGTGAGCACCTTTGTCCTGACAGCCTCTGAGATTCCATGAAATACATACAGCACATGCAACTAGGAATCCACTTCAGAACCTCTGGCAATTCCACGTGACAACCCTGAATGATGAGGTGCAGTGCACCCCGTGGTGGCAGGACTCAAGGCCAGATCAGGTCGGAGAAAAATACTGGACCCGCTTTTCAAAGTGACAGGAAGATCAGAGCCACAGGAGGCCTTGCTGAAGACCTTGCAGCTGTCCTCACGTGTTAAATGCACTGCGGATCTCCCTAAAGAAGTGGCCTATTGTAGGCCTGGAGGAAACAGGGAACCCCAAAAACCTCTGCTGTGGAGTTTGTCTCTATGGTAACTCTGTGGACATCAGCTCTGGATATTCGAGTCCCTACCACAGTGTCCATGATTTGTGAGGCTCCTCATGCTAAAGGACCTGAATTGTTCTGGGATGAAGTGCAGCAACACTGATGGGGTTTATGTTTCCTACTTGGGTGTTCACATACCAAAGGGGGCAGATGTGGTGTGTGGAGCACACCCCCTTCAGGCTCCTACACACACACACACACACACACACACACACACGCACAGGTGTGCACATCCAGCATGCAGTCTCCTTGGTTCTCCAGTGTCCCTGAGGGAGACCTGAGATCCTCCCATTCACTTCCCGCCTACAGACAGGTCAGCCCCTCCTACCTTTATCCTTGGGCCCTCTGCGGGTGTCTTGCTCTTCTGACCCCTTTGAGCAGCATGGGGTGGCCTGGAGGGGCTCCAGCTGAGATTGAAGAGGCTGAGAAGTACTGGGCGAGGCCTGGTCTGAGGAGCCCAGCGGCCAGGAAGGCCTCTCTGAGGTTGACTTTCGTCGTTCTCTGGAACCCCCTTTCTTTAGTTTGATGAGTTTGACTAAGGCTTTGGCTCCAATCCAGTGCTTTTTCCTGTAAGAAGTAGGTTTTTAGGACACAGCCAACCCTCACTGCCCCTCCAGCAGGTGTCTGGGTGCCCTACTCGAGCTGGGATTTCCATCACCAGCCTGTAAAGGTGGTGGTTAATCTGGTTCAGAAAGCGGGTGCTCTTCGCCACCACCACGCTCAACCCACCTGGGCTCAGGAGTTGGCACACATTGTGCAGTTAATTCACACAGACCCAGGGGTGGTAGGAGCCTTCATCGTGCAGGAACCCACACTGGCCCTGGGGAAAACAGAACTTCAAACCCAGCTCTCAGCTCTTGATTACTGTGCCAAGTGCAGGAAGTGGTGCTGTGCTGACCTAATCATGCTGGTTGGCAAAATTCCACTAAAATGCCATTTTCAGAAAGACACTGGGACCTCCTCATTTTCAGCTAGAGTTAATAATACGTGAAATAGGCTGGCATACTCTGCCAATTTCTGGCATTGAGGAATCTGGGTGAGGGGAACAGGGCAGGAGAGTGGGCCGTTTGAATTAAAAACAGTGAGCCCTGGCTGGTGTTGCCTGGTGGTTGAAGCGTTGGCCTGAGCACTGACGGTGGTGGGTTTGATCCCCCAAAAAGGGCACATACCTGGGTTGCAGGTTTGATCCCTGGCCCCTGTCTCTCTCTCCTTTGTTCTCTCTCTCTCTCTCTCTCTCTCTCTATGTCTCTCTCTCCTTTGTTCTCTCTCTCTCTCTCTCTCTCTCTCTCTCTCTCTCTCCCTCTCTCCCTCTCCCATTCCCGTTCTCTTCCTTCCTCCCTACCACTCTCTCTAACTGTCAATGGAAAAAATATCCTCAGGTGAGGATTAGAAAAATAAGTAAATTAATGAAAATAGTGAATGTAAAAGGTAATTCATTGCAGCTAACAGGAAATGAAGCATTCTAATGTAACAAGGACCACAGTTGGGTTCTGGTCCTGGCTCTGCCACGAAACAGCACTGTGCTTACACAAGCCACTCAATTTCCTCATCGGTACCTAAATTTCCCTGTCAACAGAAGGGTCAGGCAGAGGTTCTGATATTATGTGGTTCTGTGATTTCTACAGATAGGCCCTGCCGGATTCATGGTGATTTGACCTCAAGGCTGGGCTGGGACAGGACAATGGGAAGGCCCAGCTCCTGGGCTCAGGCCTGGGCCCAGGGGAGCCCTGCTGGATGGAGGCCGGCAGTCTCAGGGACCGAGCCGACCCACCACCGGGGCTGCTGCTCTCTGGGGAAGGGAATGTGTTTCTGAACCTGTCCTGGGGGTCCAGTGAACCCAGAGGAATGGAGGGCAGAACAAAAGTTTCCTGTGCTTGAAGACGGGGGTGCTGGTCCAGGTGTTTGAGCCAAGCTTCCATCCCAAAACAGAAACATGATTTTCTAGGTCCCGAAATCTTGAGACAATAGCTGATATGCCTGATTTAGTGGCTTTAAAAGCACAGACTCTCTGCCCCTTAAACAGGCTCCTGACCAGCTGGCATTCACCATCCCTCATAGGATAACCCTGAGTACAGAGGGTGGGACTGAAAGAAACTCTAAATTCTTTCTATGCTGAGAGGGACCTGCACACAGGGACCTGCCATACAGCAGAAGGTTCGGGCCCAACAAACTGGCCACTGCTCTAGATGCTACAGCTTCCCCTGCTCGTGAAAAAGCAAGCTTTCTGTCCTGTGTGTAAGCTACTGAAGCTTAAGTCAACTCACTTCTTTGGCGCTGGATCATGGAACTTGCGCTGAGCCATGCTTTTTTCTTCCAGTGTTTCATTTTGTCTCTGTAAGGCATTTAATTTGTCTCTAACAGAGGAGAGAGAAAAACAGTCTGTTTTTTTTAAAATAAAACACATAAATTGACTCATAACCCCCTCCTGGGACCTGGCCCAGAAGGAGCCTGTGTGTTCCTGGGACTCAGACATCAAGGTGCTCATGACCACCATGACCCCTGAGTTGGGAATATGGGATGGAAGCATGTGACATGGGTCCAGGAGCCAAACACATCGAAGAGATGACTGAACACCTAGGGTCAGGCTGTGCGTCACCTCAGGAGAGAGACCCCGAACCATCTGAAACTCAAGCTGGGAAACCCCGAGGGTTCTGGCCAGGTCAGCTCAGGACGCTGGGCACTCCGGTCAGACTCAGGGCTAGGCTAGCTCCTGCAGGTGCAGACCAACGATAGCTTTAGTGGTGGGAGGGGTCTGCCCTTGCTGAGTTAGACAGGCATCAGGTTAAAAAGGTCAGTTTAGCAAAGTCATCCCTCCAACCTGGACCCACTTCAATGTTGGGCTTCTGCTAACACTTCTAGTGAAGCAAACTCAAAGCCTTTTGGGAGCCAGACAGAGAAGATAAGGAGCAAAGCAGCCTGGAAGGACCTGAGGGAGGAGTGGGGGCTGCGGCGAGGCTGAGAGCTCGGTGCCACCTGGGACCTAACACAGGGCCTGCAAAGGAGCGCTGCTCTCCATGTGGCGGAGCTTCTGACTGCTTTTCCCAAAGGATCCAGAAGCCCCGGCTCTGAAGCAAAATCTTTTAATTTCTAAATGTGGGAAGTCAGTTCACATTTTTAAAAACACACAAAGGATCCTCTTAAACCTTGGGCTGCCAGAGGGCACCCCCGCTCCTGGGAGAGGGAGCCTGGCTTTCCTGAAGCAGAAGACATGGCATGCTTTCCTGTTGTCTGTCTATGAGCTTTGCAGACAGTGCTCGCTATACAGCTCCCCCCACTGGGCCGCTGGCTCCTGTCATGTTCCTGCGTCTCCTCACCCATGTGACCTTGACAGCTCAGACCCCGGCTTTCCCTGCTTAAAAATGAGTCCTCGGCATCCAGAGAGCTGCTCAGGCTCCTTCAGTCAAGAAGGTGCCCAGGCCCCTCCTAATATGAGGGCTTTTCCGTGAGTTCGCCGCATAGTGAGCACCCGTGAGAAGTGATTGCTTGCAAACTACTGGGTCCCTGGCCACAGACCTGCTCTGCTCCCAGCACCCTCGGCTCGGCCTCTGTTCTTCTAGTCTGTGTTATTCTGTTCCCATAGCTGTCCCCCAGCCCTGCAAACTCATGGCCCAGCTATCCCAGGGCTGGGGATGACTCTGCTTGGAGCAGGCCCAGGAAGCCTGCAACTCCCTGGCCTCCTGCAGACACTCTCTAATGCAAAACCGTCATCAGATCATCCCCAGGGTACCAGGTCCCGACTCTTCTAGTTTGCACCTGTCCAACCTCTGCTGGTAATTTTTAGCAGCTGCGTTATAGAGAGCCCACTTCAGGCTACAAACTCTCACTTCTACCCTAAAAGTACAGTGCAGTTTCCCATGTCAGTCATCCTTAGTTTCCCATGTCAACCATCCTTGGTAGATGTTGAGCCCCCTGTAGATGAGCAGACGAATCCAGGAGAACAGTGAACAGCAGCATCACCCCGGGGAGCTGGGACAGTACCCAGTGGTCACTGTGGCCATGTCCCTCTGTCCCACACTGGCCAGCCATTCCCAATCACAAGGAAGGACAGTCCCAGCAGCACAGCACCGAGGGGTGAAGACCACCGTGGACCCACAAGATGTGTCTCAGATGACGTGACTTCCAAACCACAAGGATTCCAGCACCAAGGTTCTTCCTCCTGCCCTCATTTCTGGCAGCTTCCTAGGCCCTGTACACCAGCATCCCTTAATCACCCAATTCCCAGTGAATCCAAGTCATCAGAAGGGCATGGAAGCCTTCCATGGCTGAGCGCTGCCTCCTCCAGCTCCCCTCCTGCCACTCCCTGCAACTTCCCTGCACCCACAATATGCCAAGCCCCACCTTCACGTTCAGCCCCTATTCCCCCCCCTCCCGCACAGACTGGCTAGCCTTCTCCCCATCCGTGTCAGCAGCAGAACTCCAATTCCTACCAACATGCTTCCTTCTACATCCATGGAGCTCCTCAACATCTGTGTGCACACAGCTCTGCTCACATCCCATCCCCCCTACTGGTTCCTGGAGACCAGGTAACTGGTTCTGTGCACTTTGCAGAGCCAGGCCTGTTGGCCAAGGCAATAACCACAGAAGGAGGACAGCCACTGTGCACCAACAACCCACTCTGCAACCCATTCAGGGAAAAACCGACACAGAAAGGGCTCAGCCTGTGATCTGAAGTCCTTCCCTAGGAACCTCTCTTTATCTCTGTTGTATTTTTCAAAGTGAACCTGATCCCAAAAGCAGATTAAGAAGCGCCTGGCAGGGGGCTGTGTCTCTGAAAAGCCAACAAAGCCAACCACCCCTATTTGCAGAAATCTGGAACCATTCCAGAGAAAACGAGAAGGATGTGCTGGTAAGATGGTCTGTCCCCTTGCCTGGGACACCAATGCGCCCAGGGGGTTCTCTGCTGCCCAGAATGGCGCAGTCTAGTCACGGAGCTGTTGACAGGCGCCCGTCAGCCCACACCCCTCACACGTACTGCCGCTGCTCTTCCTGGTGCTGGTCCTTGTTCTCCACGTCCTCCTGGAGAAGCCTCTGGTTCTGCTCTTCCAAACTTTGGTTTTGGCTCTGCAGGTGATGGTTTTCTCCCTCCAAGTTGCCCTTGAGGCGGGAGAGCAGCTAAAACACAGATGGACAATGTCTCAAACACCACACGCTCCCGTGATTCCACTGCTGGGAATCTACTTCCAAAAGGAGAAAAAGGTCACATGCACAAAGATGGTCATTTTGGTATTATCTACGTCAGCTGGCATGACCAATACGGCCAGTGCTATGGGGATGGCCAAGCCTTCTGCCACTGCACCATTCAATCAGGCAGCCACTGGCCATGTGTGGCAGCTGAGCACTGAAAATACAGCCATCTGAGCTGAGGTATAAGTGCAAAATATATAATAGGTTCTGAGGACTTAATAACAAAATTAATGTAAAGTATCTCATTAATAAGCTGCTTGGTGTGTGTGGCTCAGTAGGTTGAGTGTCCCATTCACCAAGAAATCACCGGTGTAATTCCTGATCTGTGGCAAGAAGGCATACTCAGCCCCAGGGTGCCTTATGTGCCATACCAGCTCAGCCTGGTTCAGTGACCCTGAGAGGGGGTGGTGAAGGATTAAGAAAAGACAGCAAGATAATGAAAGCTGGGTCTCAGTGGGACGCTGCTCCTTTGACGTAGAGACAGTGCCAGCGCCCACAATCCATATCATTTTATAGCAGATGCCACGAGGCAAAGTAAGGGTGTGATCAAGATGTTTACAACATTCTCGTGGGTTTCAGTCCTACTCAACTACATGCACCTGAACTCTATCACTCAGGCATGTGGGGCCACGTGTTCAGACCATAGGTTAAAGCTTACCACTCTAGCTGTTGGCTATAATGTGCTGGGAAGGCTCTGCCCTCCAAGCTGGGACTTGCACATGGCAATGAGAGGTCCGTGCCCTCTCATCAATCCAAGGCTTGAACCCATCCAAACACTGTAGCCACACCCCACACTGATCAAGGCACATGCCTGGGTTGCTGGCTCCATTCCCCAGTTGAGGGCATGCAGGAGGCAAATGACGGATGTTTCTCTCAAAAAATCAATTAAAAAACATATTATTTTGAAAAATCTCATTAATAAGCTTTTGGGGTTACATGTGATATTTTAGATATAAGGTTCAATAAAATAGACCCCTACATTAATCCCACCTGATTCCTTTTACTTTTTGAATGTGGCTACTAGAAAGCTGAGTGTTACATGTGGTGGCCTGCATTACATTCCTACTGGACATCTCTGCTCTAGGTAGGGTTGGCACGCTTTTCCGGTAAAGAGCGAGGTACTAAATACGTTAGGCTTTCCAGGCCGACAGTGGTCTCTGTTGCAACTGTTCAACCCTGTTATTACAGCAGGAAAGGAGCCAGAGAAACAATGCACACACATGGGTGTGTCTGTGTTTAAAAAACAAACCAAAAATCTTAACTCATGGACACCAACATTTAAATTTCATGTCACTTTCACTTGCCCCCAAATATTATCCTGCTTTTGATTTTCCCCAGCCATTAAAAACTGTGAAAGCTACTCTTGGTTCTCAGCCATACACAAACAGGCGTGAAGCTGGACCTGAATTTTGGGCTGAGGCTGGCCAGCTCCTGCTCTAGAATATCATCGCGTTTGGTGTAGCAGGAAGTCCCAAGCTTTGGCTTCAGACAAACAGGGTTCCAACCCGCTACTTCAGAGGGACAAGGATGGGAACCCCAGCTCACAAGATCATTGTGAGAATTAAATGAGATGACACAGAGAGCAGAGTGCTCAGCCGAGAGGACAGAGATACAATGGTACTTGGCTGTTTCCATGCACCGCCCCGACCCTGCAAAAAGCAAAGATCAGGTGAAAGGTGTTCTGTAGCACACCCCTGCCAGTCCTGGTGTTCATCCCAGTCAACTGCCTCTGGCTTCCTCTCTGCCTCTGTGTGACATTCACACACACCTTTTGAGCAGAGATGCCAATGAGGACCCATTCCCACCTGGTGGAGCCCAAGGCATCAGCCCAGGGAACAGGCCCACCCAGGGTCCTGGGGCCTCCAGCTCTGGCCTCACCTGGCAGTGGTTGCCCAGCTCGGTCAGCGAGATGTCCCTGCTCTGGAGCTCCTCCCTCAGCCAGTTGCACTGGTCCTGCCAGCAGTTCACCTCCAGCTGGGTGTCATTCAGGGAGGTCTGCAGCTTCTTGCTGTGCACCTGCAGCTCCTCCTGCTGCCCCTTCAGCCCCTTATACCGGGCCTGCCAGCGGTTCTTCTCCAGCTGCATTTCATTAAGGGAGGTCTGCAGCTCGTTGTTGTAGCTCTGCAGCTCTTCCTGCTCCTCCCTCAGCCAGTTGCACTGGGCCTGCCAGCAGTTCAACTCCAGCTGTCTGTCCTTCAGGGTCGTTTGCAGCTGCTTGTTGTGTGTGAGCAGCTCCTTGACGTGGGTCTTCAGCTGCTTGGCGTCGGTCTGCATGTCCATGGTGAGTGTGTACATCTCCTCTTGCTCCTGCTTCAGCCCCTCGTACCGGGCCTGCCAGTAGTGCACATCCAGCTGGGTGTCGTTCAGAGATGTCTGAAGCTTCTTGCTGTGCATCTGCAGCTCTTCCTGCTGCCCCTTCAGCCCCTTATACCGGGCCTGCCAGCGGTTCTTCTCCAGCTGCATTTCATTAAGGGAGGTCTGCAGCTCGTTGTTGTAGCTCTGCAGCTCTTCCTGCTCCTTCCTCAGCCAATCGCACTGGGCCTGCCAGCAGTTCACCTGCAGCTGGGTGTCACTCAGGGAGGTCTGCAGCTTCTTGCTGTGCATCTGCAGGTCCTCCTGCTCCCTCTTCAGCTGCTGGTGCAGGGAATTGGCCCTGGGGGTGGAGAGACACAGAGCCAAGGGCTGAGGCGCACTCCCAGGCTCTGTCCCAGTTGTAAAACCTTAATCAAAACAGCAACCTCTCTGGCCCTCAGTTTTTTCATGTGTTAATGAAGGATTGAACAAAATCAGCGATTTTCAAACTGTGTTCATTGGGGTTCTAGGAGGCTACGCTGGGAGAGACAGGACAGGCAGGCTTGGACACCACTGCAACAGAGCATCCCTGCAAAAGTCCTTTCTATGTGAGGCTTTGGCACATCTGCCTACTTAGAAAAAGAGTTCTTTGATTGAGACACTTAAACACTGAATCAGAACATTTCTGCTCTAAGACTCTATGTCTATATCCAGCTCTTCTCCCCAATTCCAAGCCCCTTTCTAATTTCAACTACTGAGATAAATAAAATAGGAGATTCTGGAGTGTTACCTAAATTCACTGAAATTATCATCATCATCATCATTACTCGACTGGGATTCCTGGGGAAGATTTATACCAAAAAGCTCATATGACCAGAGGCTCATGGACTCAATTTGAACACAGGTGTGTGAAATTTGGCCCACACAGCTTTTTAAAAATTTTTAACATTTACTTATTTTATTCTATTTTATTTCATTTTAAAGTGTGTATGGTTTTATTAATTGAAGACTCTCCAATAAAGTCAACTAAAAAAATAAAATAACATAAAGAAAGGAAACAGAACAAGAAAAAAAGATTCTCTGTTGTAGTGCTGTAAGTACTTGCGGTTTAGGTTTAAGGGTCAACTGGCCTCAGACATGTTTCCAGGTCCTCCCAGTCAGCAGTTCTAAACCTGTGGGTCACGACCCTTTCACAGGGGTTGCATAAGACCATCGGAAACATACATATAGAATGTCCCAAAATTCACGCAAGATCCGCAATTGAATTGAGTTGCAAACCTTGCGTGAATTTTGGGACACCCTATATAATTACATATGTTTTTGTGATTAATTACTAAGCTTTAATTATGTCCAATTTGTAACAATTAAATTGTGGTCACCACAATATGAGGAACTGTATTAAAGGATCACGGCATTAAGAAGGTTGAGAACCACTGCTCCTGGTCCTCTGTCCTTCCCAAACAAAGCAGATTTTTTTGAAAAACAAACAAAACAAAAAAATAATTATTATATCAGCATTCCAAAATTTTAAGTTTCCCATCAACATTCAGATATCTTCTTTTCAGAAAAAAAAAAAAAGCATAAAGAAGGATGACCTGGCAGTCCAACCTGCCTCCCAACTGACAGCCTCTAGCTGGGTGTATTCTCCACCAGGGCCTGGTCTATCGCTGACTCTCCTTCCCCACCTGCTGGACCTGCCCGGCCACTGCAGGCAGCTGAGTTACAGCCCCACAGCACATGTTAAATCAGGGCTGTGGGAAGGAAGGCTTCATGTGGTCACGCTCTGGGTTGAGGCAAGACCTGGATTCAAATCCTGCCTGTGACTAGGAACATTGACCTTGAACAAGTTGTTTAATCTCCCTGAGCCTGTTTTCTCCTCTGTTGCTGTGGTTTTTTTAAAGGATAACAATAGCTCAGTCAATTCTAATGATTCGCAGTATAATGTTCTACCCAAACACGCGAACCCTGAATTAGTGAGTACTGAAACTGTTCCCACCGGTGCCTGGGAGTCTCTGGTAACATTCTGTCAGCTGATCAAGACATAAAGACGCTCCGTGTAATACACTCAGAGCCAACAGCACCATACCTGGGCCCGAATGACCCTTGTGTGCCACTCGTATATTCCCCATGAGGCCCAGAGCAGCCTTGCACTTGGGAACACTAGACAGCACTTCATCACTCCATTTGGGGGCCATTTCAAACAGCGAAATCACCCTCAAAGCCCACAAAATAGAACACCATGGCACTCAATGGCCCACAAAGAGGACGCTGGTAGGTGACAGCTGAAACAAGGCCGGGGTCAAGAATGTGCACATCCGGCGACTCTAGTATCTCCCACTCTGGGCACGTCCATGACAGGCCACGGGCACTGATTTGGGGGTCACCAATACATTTCAGCCAGGAGGTGAATTCACAAATGGGAATGCGTGAATGCTGAGGACCGAGCCTCCCTCCCTCACGGGATCGCTGGTGTTAGAGCATGCAGGTGCCCCTGCCCAACAGTCATCAGCATCATAACTGTGGGAGGGAACGTTGTCCAAACCTAGACAATGCCCCATCCCAGCTGCCGAGTCCTTCCTTCCAGCCACCAGCTGGAGTCCCCTTAACCTTGTTACCACCAGCTGCTTCCAGGGCAGGGTTGGTAAAAATGCACCATCACCAGGGGTCTCACTTGAGCTCAGCTCAGCGGGTGCTGAGTGAGTGGGTCTGACTGAGATCCCAGCAGAGGCGCTGCAGGGGGCCTGGCGGTTACCTGTCCAGCTCTCCCTGCAGCCTCTGGTTCTCTTCGGCGGCCATGGCACTCGTCCTCTGCTCCTGCTGCAGAGCCTCCTGCTCTGTGGTCAAGAGCGTCCCCAGCTGCTCCAGCGCCGCCTTATGTTGGAGCTGGTCCTTGTATCTGTTGATGGGAAACACACCCGCTAGGAAAGGACACCCCAGACCTCAAAGCCTGGGTGAGCAGCTTCTCTCTGCAGAGCTGAGGGAGAGGGGGATGGACAGGGGACAGGGTTGCACAAGGAGAGGAACAGACACTGAGCCAGCTCTGGGGGTCTCCTCCAGCTGGGAGCCAAGTCCCCCTCCTCCCACCTGACATGTCTCCATGGCCCCTTCCAGACCCTGTCAAAGCAGCCTCCCTCGTTCATCCCACTGGGAACAAAACCACTGTTTTCTGAACTCCACGACTTTGTCAAAGAAACCACTGCACATACAGCGAATTCCACCGCCCATAACAGCTGATCCCCCTCACCAGGCCCTGGGTGAGCCCTCCGCCCCAGCTCAGGAACACAACTCTTCCTGCTCTGAGCCAGGCAGGATGGGGGGCAGAGGCTTGCCTGATGGGTCCCAAGCAGCCACCAGGGGCAGCTGCACACCCTGCTCCTCAAGGCACCCCCAGTCCAGCCTTTGCCCTCGCCCTCCCGAAGCCTCCCCTCAGCTCGGGCTTTTATTTCTTTCCTGTCTCAGTCTGCAGAGGGTCCCGCACAGCCTCTCTGGAGGGCAGCAGAGCACAAGAGGGAGCCCCTGACCAGCCCCAGGCTGTTCCTCCTCCTGCAGGAACCTTCCCTGTTCAGGGTGACTCGGGGGGCCCCCCAGGTCCAAGGTGGAGACTGAGTCATCACCTTTCAATCTTCCCCAGGCAGGCAAATGCCTTTCCAGACCCCCTTCCTGAGGTGTCCACACCCAGAGACAGGCTGACAGAGACCACCCAGGTTCCATGGTTTCAGCCCCTGCCCTCAGCCCTCCATCCCCGCCCCTCCTCCTCCGACCCCATATCAGCTGTACTTGTACCCTCTGTCTGGAGTCAAGACCTGTGGGGACTCAAACTCAGACAACTGCTCGGGTGGCTGTTAGAAGACAAACGTTCCTTCCTGTGGCCTTTAGCCATGGGTGGAGACTGCCAGGACAGGACGGGGGATGTGGAAGGTGGGGATGAAGGCTCTGCCGGGTTTTCAGGGCGGCGATCTTTCTCATCCAGGTTTGAGAAACAGGGCCACGGACCATTAGGGTCCCCACCTCCTGCTTCCCTGTTGTGTCTTGGCAAAGCACAGGATCAAGCATATCACAACCATTAGTAACGACCCTCCGGCAGGGCAGAAACTGGGAGTCCTACTCCCCACTGAATCCCAGGTACGAGGCTGGACACCCAGTACATGTGCGCCAGGGGAAGGAAGGAGCGAGTGTCCCAGTCAAGTGTCAGGTGAAATGAATACAGAGCCCCCGGCCTGTGTTCCAGGCACCTCCACCTCCAACCTGCATCCTTGCTGCAGACACACCAAGGGCCTCCAGCTATCTGTCCAACCAACAAAAACCACTGAATCACACAGGCGGTCCACCAAGCAAGGAGTCACAGGCCGAACAATGAACTCCTCCCTCAGAGCAGTCAAATGCCACCTGCACAAACCTTCCCATGTGAACAGACAAAAGAATATATCCACACGGTTATCATAGGGCATTGAGGGTAAGGCCCGCAGCGCCTGGTGCGGGGTGGGCACCACAGGAGGCTCCCATCAGTAGTCAGCTGGGTGCATTCCCACCATGTTAGACAGCACCAGGCGCCCAGTGGGTGCTCACTAAGCGTCTCGTGAACACAGGACGGGTGCGGAGGAGGCAGTGAGGGAGATGCCAAGAGGCAGAAGATACTCATTCTGGCGGGAAGAAATGAGAGTCTGATAGGAGCAGACGTCCCGGCACCCCCAAAGGAAGGGAATCTGGGTGGAGAAAGGGGTGGAAGGCTCTGCAGAGAGTCCACAGGCAGCACTGGGTGAGTGCATAAATGAACGTCATTGCCCCCAAGTTCATGCAGCAGCAGGAGCCCTCCACAGGCTCTGCAGGCTCAGCGCCCTCCCTGGTCCCTGTGATGCCAAATCCCTGCACCTCAGCTGCTCCCAGGGAAGCCCCAGCCTTTGCCTAGCATCTGCTGAGACAGAGGCAAGGGAAGACCTCAGCAGGGATAACTCACAAGCACAGAAGGTGGACAGCTCCCTCCTGTGCTGCTCCCTCCTGTGCTGCTCCAAGTGTGGGAGAGCCTCTCTTTAGTGTATCTCTCCCCCCGACCCCCCACCTTGGAGTTCTTTGTACATCTCACTTCCCCCAGGCTCTGGGTCCCGCTGCACCTGCCAGGGCCACTGAAATCAGGGATCTGTTGGCCAGGAGCTCAGCCGAAGTTGGCTGACTATATGCACACAAAGCCCTGATTTTGCAAAAGCACAAAGTTAAGATTTATGCATTTAAGGTACATCAATTTTACCTTTAAAAAGGTATATGGAGAGTCATAGGTAAAGGTGACAGGAGAATGGCCGAGTATTGGTAATGCTGCTGCAGGTGAGGGGAACACAGGATTTTCACTATACTATTGTGTACACGTCCATATATTCAAAAGTTTCCAAAATTAAAAGTAAAAAAAGAAAATCAGAAGCCCAGACTTTGAGACTTGGACAGGGAAAAGGCCTGGGGAGCTCGGTAAGGCACGCCCCTGAACATCGGCAGCTGTGGTGACTTCCCCTCCTAGTCCTTGGTTTGGAGAGAAAAGGAAAAGGGGGTAGGAATGCCCAGGGGAGCTGGGACGCCAATGCTGACACCTGGTTTCCCTGAGCCTGGATTAGTGGGCACACCCTTCTCCCCTGGGGGACCCTCCTGCCCCTCAGTCTCCAGCCACACCAACTCCACATCGTTGAGGGTGATGGTGGATTTCCATCTCTTCACTGTGGACAGAGGAAACATGAGGGACCAGAGTGAAGGGGGGACAGGAGCCCGGGGAGCCCGTCAGTCACCCCCAGCCGCAGGCACCCACCTGTCACTGAGAGCCTTGCTCTCCAGTTCCAGGTTCCGACACAGCAGTGTCTTATGGCGGCGGTACTTGTCGAGAAGGGCCGTGTGCTCCTTAGTAGGGTGTTCGTGGAGTGCGCCTAGGCTCGCATGTTCCTGCTGCAGGGCCTGGTGGGCTGCCACCAGCTGCTGGTGCTGGAGCTGAGTGTCCTGCTCTGTGAGCGCAGTGTGCGAGGCGCTCTGGGAGCTCAGAGTGGAATTTTCCACCTGCTGGAGGGAGAAGGAAATGACGCCTCATCAGGTGCAGGCCCAGGGGGACCACAGACTCCGGATCCCCAGGTCCCCACACGCAGTGAGGGACCAACAGCGGGTCAAGTGCAGACACCAAAATAGCAGGACCCTCAGGAGAGGCAACACCCAGCCGAGCTGAGGACAGTTCTACCTGCACTCAAGGAACTGCTCTGGGAAGGCCCACGGCAGAAACGGACTACCCCATGGGCCTAAGCTTAGTCCTGGGCCCCTCCCTGCACATGTGACCTTTCTTGGCAATTTTTGCCCTTTCTCTGGATAACCTCCTTGGGTACCCTCTCTGAATACTTTGAAAAGTGCATGGAAATTCAGTAAGGACACAGAGAACCTGAACAGCACTACCAACCCATTTCACCGATATTTACACACCACAATCCAACCGCATTCAAAGCACCAGAGAGTTGACCGGGGAGGAACCGTCCTGACTCATTCTGAGGCCAGAATTACCCTGGTGTCCAGCTGCTTGTCCCGCTCCAGACCCTCAGGCTGCAGGGTGTCCAGAGACGTCTGCAGCCTCTGGTTCTCCAGCAACAGGTCCTGGCTTTCCCACTCGAGGGCGTGGACCCTCTCAGGGGCCGTCGTCAGGGTGCTGACCTCCATGGCCAGCTTCTCGATCTCCTCCTGCAGCCGATGCAGCTCCTGCTCAATCTCCTGTGCCCGCACCACGTGCTCCTTCACCCGCACCTTCATGTGCTCCAGCTCCTGTGCCTGCGCCGCCTGCGCCTTCACCTGCTCCAGGTCCCGGCACAGCTGCGGCCGCTCCCACTCCATCATAGTCACTTTCCTTTTGGTGTCCGTCACCGTCTGGAGGAGGACTTTTTGCTCAGTCTTCCTGCCCTTCATGCGGGCCTTGCTGCTGGTCTGTGAACTATCCCGCAGTGAATGCACCAGTTTTTTCAGATCCTTGAACTGCAGGAAAACACAAGGAAACGACACAGGCATGATTTCGGTCCAAACTGGAGGCCCAAAGTGTAGGCCTGGAATGTCCATCTCATCATGGACCCAAAGGACGTCCTAACGTTTCCCAAAGGCCTGATATGGACACAAGGTGAAGGGCATGGAGATCCCCACCCAGACAGTTCAAGTCTAAACACTTTCACAGAAGCCAGATGACATAGAAACAGAAACCGCATCTTCTCTTAAAACAATGAAAGTGATTTTTTTGGTGCTTTTTACCCTGGTCCACAGTGGTTCAAGAGCTGACCGCCCACCCCTGTGGCCACTCCTCACACCACTCTCCCCTGCAGGCACTGCACATGATCTTCCCTCTGCTGTGAATGCTCACCTGCCTCCACCCCCAGCCTCCAGCTTCTCTGGCTCCTTCTCATCATCCAGGACTCAGTGTGATTGACAGCTCCTCAGGGAAGCCCTGCACCAGGATTCTAAATGTCCTGCACCAATAAGACTGTCCCTGGACCCACGTATATTCCCTCAATAGCACACATCTCAAGTCACCTGGCTTGTCACCTGTCATTCCACCTCCTAGACTGGAAGCCATATTGGGGGAGGGTGGATGCATGCCTCCTAAGTCTACACAGCACCACCCCAAGCCCCTTTTCTGCAATACTAGAGAGGCTAAAGAACTCAAGTACCTGATACCCAGCCTCCCTTGCAGCTAGGGTTAGTCATGTGTCAGGTGTGGCCAATGAGATGTACACAGAGGATCCCAGGAGGCCTTCCCTCTGTCTCTTCACCCTCCACATTCTTCCTGCCCACTTCTTGGCGAGGTACAACAGCCACGGCCAAGACTGGCAGAGCAGGAAGGGAGAAGCCTGGTTTCTGGGTGGTGTCCCTGAGCCGCTGCCCCAGCACTGGGCTGCCTACCCTAGGACTTCTGTGGGGGTGGATTAATCCTGGAGGTTCTCCAGAGCTCTGAGCGTGAAGCTGGACATTTGAAGGGGGATCTTTGTCCTGTGGGCTGTCCCATGTGCTGCAGGACATTTAGCAGCATCCTGGCCTCTCCCACCACAGCCAGGAGCACCTCCACTCTCCTCCCCCAAGTCATGACAATCATAAACAAGATGACTGCTGCCCAGCCAGTATGGGTCAATGGTTGAGCATCATCAACCTATGAACCAGGAGGTCACGGTTCGATTACTGGTAAGGGCACATGTTTACTTTGCTGGTTGGATCCCAGTAGGTGGCATGCAGGAGGCAGCTGATCAATGATTCTCTCACATCATTGATGTTTTTATCCCTCTCTCCTTCTCCCTTTCCCTCTGAAATAAATAAAAAATAGACTGAACAAACAAAAAGATTGCTAGTGTCCCTGGGAAGCAATATCTGTCCCTGTGCCCCTGCTGTGGCTGGAATTGCTGGTCTGACTGCAGCTGTGGGCAGAAACTGGTAACCCAGGAATCACTGCTGGATTCCCAGGACATCCTATGATCCTGGACTCACACTCTTGCAGGCCGGGGAGCCAGGGGAGGCATGGTGCTGGAGGGCCTACCTCCTGGGCTTTCTCAGCCTTCAGGGTCTTATTGTCACGGAGCAGCTGTTCTCTCTCCTCCACCAGCTCCTCACAGAGAGTCTCCAGATCCTGGCTGGTCTGCTTTTCTCTTTCCATTTGGACTCGCAAGTCTTCAATCTGTGGAACCAAAGACCGACCCCATGCAAATGTCCGTTTCAGGGAGTGAACTGTGTTTTAAAGCAAACACAAAACCTGTCATCTCCACGGAACACTTTATCAGGCCTTTTCTCAAGGGGAAACCTTCCGTCCCACTTCTTGGGGTAGTACTTCAGCCAATGCCAAGACTGCAGAGCAGGAAGGGAGAAGCCAGGCACCTGGGTGGCATCCCTGAGCCACTGCCCAGGTCAGGCCTAGTTGTGCAGTGAGCTCCCCACACCCTGACCATCACCTCTCAGCCATGGTGTGCACGTCCAGCTCATGGTAGAGAAAAAGGCCATGGACACCAATAGGTCAGCTTTCCTCCCAGCTTTCCACTGCTCACTCTCAATGCTTACATCTTAGGTCGTGTCCACTACTGTCCTGAGGGTCAGGCCACATTCCTGGGGCCATCAGCCACCACTGGATGTCCTACCGGGACTTCACCCAGTTGGTGACATTCCTATTCATCCAGCTGCTCTGAGGGGTCCTCTGCCATCTCTCTCCCTCCTCTCCCCTCCAAGTAAATGGACCACCAAGGCCTGTGCTCGTTCCCCATGCGGCTCCCCCTCCACACCCGACTGCTGCCCAGGCCAGACCCCCTCTGTCCTTCCTGGACGATGCCAATCAGCGGCCCGTCACGGAGGACCCACCGGTGCCCACTCCCTGAACATGAACTGCCTGGACCCACACATCTCGCAGGTCTCACACTCTGTGCCTGAACACCGTGATGGATGCAGATTCAGACTCAGGGTGGGCCCTGAGGTGCGACTCCCAGGCGAGGCTCGTGCTGCTGTCCCTTCCCACTGACAGCAAACTCATGACCACCTGTGAGGGGAAGAGTGTGGCTCCCTGCTAACAATGTGACCACGAGTGCATTTCCGTAACTGACAGGGCCAGCAAGCAGCAGGCATGGGCGCCAGCTTCTGTCAGGGTGACGTGCTCATCTCACACCTGGGAGGTGGCAAGTGCAACAAGAGCTGACCCCTCCTGAGAGTGCCAGGCCCCTCCCATCCTCAGAGCTTCTGACATGGTCAGTCTGGGCAGGGGCCCAAGAGCCTGCATTTGGACTTGTGACCCTGATGCTGGTTTGGGTTGACGGCTCTAAAACTAAAACAGAGGAGCCCCACAATCCAGATCAGGTGGCTCTCAGAGCATTAAACACCCCAGACCTCAGGCCACCAACTAGAACCTCTGGGGGCAGGACCTTCAGACACCCAGTGACCCAGTGAGCAGCAGGTCCAAGAGCCGGCTCCATTCACCTGCTGGGAGCGGCCTGGCACAGGCAGGTTTACAAACTCCCAGAAGGATCGCTGCTCTAATGCCAGCTCTGCCTACTTCTCGTGGGAGAGGCCGCCCTGCCTTTATCTCACAGGTCTTGGCACAGTCTTCAGACAACTCAGAAGCAGCAGGCAGGCAGCTTCTTCCCCATGACGGGGAGGGTTAGGCACAGTGGGGCTCATATCTGTGCCCTCACAGACCCCTGTCCGCACACCCAGCCCCCTGCCCCAACATGGGGACAGGGCAGCCCCACCAGCCAGGGCCAACAGCAAAAGGCGCTGCAAGGTGCCACCTGTCTGAGTCTTTCTCACAAGTGAGAACATCTTTCTTCTCCTTCCTTATCGCTGCTCCACTTCCTAGCAACAGGTCTGGGCTCAGAGAGAAGCAGGCATCTGCCCTGATGGCCGTGCCTGCTCTGGGGCCGGCCCTGAGGAGGAAGGCCCTGCACAGCTGTCACTCACCCTCATTCAGAGAAGGGCACCGGCCCAGGGAGTCCAGTGATCTGCCCAGAGTCCCAGTGAGGATGCGGCAAAGCCGAACGCATGGCAGTGGGCCGACCCCAGGCCTGCTCTCTCAGACAAGGTCTGGGGTGTGTCCCCCCGCCAACCTCCTGCCTTGTTCACCCCTCCCCGTCTTACTGTTAATCCTTCTCCCCTGCTGCCCCGTCTATCCCAGTGAAAGGAATGTTATGTCCAACCTTTGCATATCTGGCATGGCTGCTTCTGGTCTGAAGATGTGACTGCCTCATGTCCCCCCAACCCCCGGCTGGACACCCCCATCTGTCTCTGTTTCTTTTTGCTGTGGAACTGGAACCCTCACTCCTGTCTGTCCCTGAAGGCCATCCCTTCCCCTAGGGCAACGGTTCTCAACCTGTGGGTCTCAAACAATGAAAATACATCCTGCATATCAGATATTTACATTACGATTCATAACAGTAGCAAAATTACAGTTATGAAGTAGCAACGAAAATAATTTTATGATCGGGGGTCACCACAACACGAGGTACTGTATTAAAGGGTCGCGGCATTAGGAAGGTTGAGAACCACTCTGAGAGATTGCTGGGCTGAGATGGGTTTCCTGTCTTCCTCAAAGCACCAGCCTTGGGCCGCGGACTCCTGTGGGGAGGCTCCAGGTCCCCAGAGCACACGGGTGCCAGGGGCCTGCCCATCAGCCCCTGTGCTGCGCTTTAGTGCCCACAATAGGCCCCAAAGGGCTGCCCCTCTTCCTAAGAGGAATGAACTCTGAGGATGTCAGTGCAAAGTGAGGGTGGGGGGCGCACCCTCTCTAAGGTCCACAGAAGGGTCGTGAGTTACAGGGAAGGACGTGAACTTCGGGAACTAAGGTTTACACAGACCGAAGGGAGCCTACAGCCTGGGAGACACTGGGTGGTGGGAGAGCCGAGCTGGCACCGGGGGGCCTGGGACTCTGGGCCACCTGTCCTGGCTGACCCTTGTCTCTCCTTCTCAGACACCTCCCAGAGGGCCATGTTGTCTGGACGTGTCCAAGGCTGGGCCTGTCCTGGCTCCAGGGAGGTCAATGTCAGGCCATGTCCCTGTGGCTTTTAGCTGATGGCCTAGATGCACCATCAATCAAACATGAGGGAGGACCCATGATGCAGCCAGGCCTCAAGCTGGCAGAGCACGACACGGAGGAGAGCAGAAGGGCCGCCTTCGCAGGGCTCCTGGCAGCAGACAAGGGAGAGTGCTGGACTTCAAACTGCAGCCCCTTCCTCTCACTAGGGGCTCAGAGCCAAGACAGGTCTCTGAGGGCTGTGGCAGGACTGCCTGGGAGTCCTACAGGGAACTGATCAGGAGAGGAAGCAGGGGATGGGACCGGAGAGACAGGGCTAAGGAGTCATGTGGGGAGGCTGCAGCCACCACCTGTCTTGTGTGTGTGGAGGAGGGACCGGAGTGGACCCCGAGGGCAGGAGAAGTGTCAGGGGTCATCTCTCATCCTTGCCGGGAGCTGAGCCAGAGGCTACAGCGCAGGCCTCTGCAGCTCCCCCCTGGGGACCCGCCCCATTGGAGGTTCTCATCTTTCTAAAGGTCAAGCCTTTCTATCTCAGCTGAGGTCGGGCTGCCATTTACAGAGACATTCACTGTGCCCAGACCATGTGAATCTAAAACCCAGACTGTCTGGTGGCTTTCCCTGAGCTGCGCTGCACAGAGAGACGTGGCATGAGGAGGGGCTTCCTCCCGGCCCCCAGGGAGAGGACACACTGCTTGGCAGCTGCTCTGCTGTGAGGCGCATGGATCCTCAAAGGACAAGAAGCGTGAGTCACTGAACCTTGGACGTCCCATGAGAGGCCTGGAGAAACCACTTCACAGGAGGAGGGGCGGTCCCAAGCCTCACCCAGAGATGAAGTTCCAGCAGAGCCATGACCAGCGGGAGCCAGGTCGCTGGTCTGCAGCCCACGTACCTGCCATTGCCGGGGCAGCCTCAGCAAATGACCCTGGCAGGACCCCTGGGCTGGTCGGGACAGACACCCAGATACCTGTAAGCACCAGTCCTGCCAGGGGGTCAGCAAGCAGGAGTGCCCTTGCGCGTCCCTCATCTGGAATCCGGGCACCCGTCACGGTGTGCTCAGAGCCCACGACGCAGCTGTGTCACCCGCGGTGGCTACATGGACTGAGGCCCTCTGACCCAGAATGACCTGCTCAGGGAGGCCGTCGCTAGTCTCTCAGGGCCCTTCTTGCCATGTGAATGGGGTCCTGGTAACTGTAGGATGAACCTGGCTGGTGAGCCTGTCTGTCCTCCCAGATCTCTGTTCTACTGAGCTACTGGGAAGACCTGGTTTGTCCAGAAAGGCAATGCCGTCCAGCCACCTCTTCTTCCTCATGCCCTCGACCGAAAGGAGAGAGTGAGCACTGCCTCCTGTCACCAGCAGCCATGCCCTGAAATGGCCCAGCCACGGTCTCCACACGGGCCGAGTCTTCCATCGCTGCTTCTCTCCCGGGCCCGCCCGGTGGTTTCTAAGAGGGCGCTGCTCTCCTTCCATGAGGCACTTACAGTCTGGACCCTTTGCCTGCACTAACTCACACCATCCTCACCACACCTACTGGTGGGTGCATCATTAACCCCATTTCACAGATGAAGGCAGCGAGGCCCACAGAGGTCCATCGTGTGTGGTCTCACTGCTGCAGGGACTCCTCCTGCTGCTCCTGACGCCTCTCCAGGAGGCCTCCTGTCCCCCTACCAAAACGGTGGCTGCACGGGACTCTGCCTGTCCCCCAGCTGCGCATGCTCACGGACACCTGGGTGCTCCCCCTGGCCACATACATGCCCGTATGTTCCGGACACCACCCACAGGTACCTGCTTTCTGAGCTGCTGGTTCTCCTCCTCCAGCTCCCGGCGCTGGAGGCTGCTCTCCTGCAGGGCCAGGGAGGCGTCCGGCAGCCCCTGGATGGTGCCCTGGAGGCTCTGCTTCTCCTGGTCCAGCTTCAGGAAGCAGCTGGAGGCTGAAGAGGCTGAAGAGCAAAGTGGAGTCAGAGCCCATATTCCAGGGGTCTCTGCCACCGGCCCTGAGATGGCCATCACCCTGAGCCCTAGGCTTGAGGGTCTGGGATGGTCAGCTGGGTGCCCTCCCTTTTTCCCAGGGTGCTGTTGCTGACTGCACCTGAGGGTTCCTCGGGCGGTTATGGCCCCTCTGCTGTCTCAGCTGGGTTTGTCAGGGGAGCAAGCAGAGCTTAAGAGTAAAGCAGGTGATGGTAGAGAGAAGGCAATGCAAACGTTCAAGATGATGGAACTGCTGGCACCACTTTCTGCCAAGTTTTAACCTGACCGTCAAGCCAAGGATTTCAGAGACTAACGGAGATGGCAGAGTGCGCTCTCTGTGCCAGCCTCAGAGTGGTGTGAATGCAGGTGGCTCAGCCGAGGGTGTAGGGGAACACGATCACTGACCGCATGTCTGTGGGTGGAAGAGGCTATGGGGCACATATGCCCAGTACTCGCCATCTCTGGGTAAGTTCCTTCAGTCAGAGATTTCATTTTATACTTTCACAAGTGCATTGAAAGAGAATGAGACAGTATATCCAAACTGCTTTAAAAATTCTAAGCGAGATGAAAACATAAGGTAAAGCCAGAAAAAGGCAATGTCCTTTGCTTTTAAACAGCTTCAATGCGGAACAGAAAGGGAGCACAGACCTGAGAAGAATGGGAGTTAGAGGCCCCTCCCTGCCGCCAGCAGGTGCGTGACTTTGGGAAAGTCCCGGGGCTTGTTCAGGAGGAAAACATGACTGTCTGAGGGGTTAGGGTTGTTCCCTCACCTGTCCCTCCAGGCCACACACTCAGCTCTGGGAGCCCTATCGCACTGTACTGCTAGTAGGGCTGCTCATGAGCACCCCAAGAAGCAGAGCAGTGGGTGTCTTTGGATAAGACAAGGGCGATAAGAACAGCCATCCTTTGTTGCCGCCCCGTGGGCCAGGCACAGCCTAACGCTTCACTGTCTCCTCTCACAAGATACCCATAGCAATCCTGTGAGGCAGCTTCATCACCCCTATTTTTCAGATAAGTAAACTGGGTGCAGAAGAGGTCACTTGGCTAACAAGTAGAGGAGCCAGGACTTTAAACCAGGCCTTTCTGACTCAAGAAGCCACCACCCCAACCACAAAAACTACGTTCACGCTTTGTTCGTAGCTGCCAGCTGAGCAGTAGGAGTTGGGAACATGAAGAAGTCAGTCACCGACCTGGAAGGGCTCACAAGCTACACTGAGCATCTGAATCAGGGAGGCTTTCCAACCCCATCAGCCACCCTGGTTGCTAACAGAAGCACATTTGGTCTGAGCCAGTCCCTGCCAGCGCCACCACTTCTGTGTCCCACCAGGGGGCAGTGTGCTCCCCAGGAACCTCAACTCCCAGAGCCTGGGTTCCCAGGAGTGGGGAGACACCAAACCACAGCAAGAACTAACTTCTCACACAGACTCCTAGTTCAATGAACTGATTTTAGGTTTGGAGCGGATGGGACGCCTTGAAGAGGGGAATACCCAGCTGCTTTCAACAGCCTTTCCATGACGCTGAGGAATGTTGCTCAGAATTTAAAAAGCAGCCCCTCCCCAAACCAGCCTAAGGCCCTCCTGGCTCAGCAGAGCTCTAAGCAAACCCTAACCTGCACTCTCAGGTGCACGTGTGCTATTATTGGACACAGGAACTGGCTTGTTGTTTGCTGGGTGCTGAGGCTCCTACTGTACGACCGGCCACCACACCCACCTTCCCTGGCCAACCCCTCATCTCCTCTGGGGGCTGGGAGGGGGCAACACCAGAGGGAGAGGAAGAGGCCTGGGTCCCCTGAACAGCAGCCACTGAGCAGCCCCTGCCCAGGAAGACGGAGAGCAGACTATACCCATCTGTCCCATTATGAAATCAACGGAGGAATCCATGCCCCGGGTACAGCTATAATGGAGGTGAGTGACCACTGGGGACATCTCCTGCATCCAGAGCTTCCAATCCTCCACCAACAGATCTAAGACACCCTCTGGGCATCAGCGTGCTGTCATCTGGAAGCTCCTGGCACTGGCTGATGGAAGAAATCTGGCAACACTTCCTTCGCATTTGGCTTCCTGACTCAAGGTGGCCAGGCCCTTCATGTTCTTGGTGAGAATTGCAATGAAACAGTTCCAAATGGCCCTTGAATAAAATCCTATTTACTGGGGTAGAGGAAGGGCTGACACTTGAGTTTCAGAGCCAAGGGCTCAGCTCCCCGGGTAAGAGAGAATCCACAGCCAGGCTGGCCCCCAGGCACCTGCTTTACCCTCTGACAGCTGCTCCAGCTCCCAGCGCAGGTGGGCGGACTCCTCCACACTCTGCCCCTGTGCAGTCTTGAGGGCCATGTTCTCTTCCCACAGCTCCTCAAGGCACTTCTGGTATGTGTCCTGGACCTAGTGCAGGAAGTGGGGGGGCAGTGAGGATGTGGACTGGGGCACACTCTGGACAAGCCCCGGCCCCGTGCATCTGTCCTCATTCCCCCAGGATGAAGGGCCTCCATGCCCCTAGGGGTGAAGACACCCGAGGTCTCTGAGCGGTGTCTGAACAAAGTGACCTACAGCTCAGGGCTTTAGAGCAAGTGCTATGGTGACTGCAGCTCTGTGGCCCCTTAGAAGGCCTAATACCGTGGAAAGGCCATAGGGACTCACAAATCACAGCTCAACCCACATCATAAATACCCGAGGAGACCCTTTTTGCAACAGAGGCCCAATCCCTCCATCCTCACAGGAAAGCAACACAGCATCAGGCCCTCTCTGTGTTGGAGGCTTCAGTGGTGCCCACTCAAGCCACTGGGCTTAGAAAGTGACTCTCTGCCCTCAGAGGGTCACTGTGGTGGCAGCAGCACCGATCCAGTAGCTGAACATCAGAGAAGGGCACAACATGAACCTAAAACTGCCCCCATCTGTGTTACACGTGGTGACCACAGCTTGTCCTACCAATTGTAGGTGGTGCAGCTTCGATTTCAGCTGCACATTCTCCTCCTCCCGCTCGAATAGCTTATCAATCCAATACCAAATCCAATGCTCCTGGAGGTGGCCCTTTGTGTCCACTGAATAATCGTCTCCAGTCCGCACCTGGTCAGCAAGAACACACATGAGAGCCATCAGGTTAAGGCCCCTGGTCATGACGACAGCTCTTCCAGTCACTGGACCCAAACCAACAACCTAGGGGTGACTCTGCTGCCACGGGAAGTTCTGTCTCCGCTTTTGAGCCCCTGCCCTTCTCCATTAGGCCAGGCAGATGGAAAAATCCCCGAAGCAAGACACTATTTAAATTCGGAAGGGAACACTGTGAGAGTGTCTGACACGTACAGCCTCGGTGGTTGGACGAGTGCACCTGCTGACAGGTGTGGGACTTGGCTGAGCCACTTTCTTAAACAAGGAAGGGGTGAGGCTGAGAGTCTGTCCTGGCTTTGAGGGCCGAGTCTAGGCCTCTCACAGTCACTCCACTGATCTGGGTCCAGGAACAAAATTCAGAGGAGCTTTTGTTCAATACGCAGTTCCTATGTGAACATGTCACACACCTACTCTTAGAAAAACAACAGCTCTGGGCAGTTTCCGGGAAATGAGGGGTCTGTAAGACACAACAAGCAAAACAAGTCCTATGGCCTCTGTGTGCCAGGCACATGCTGGGGGTGGACACAGTTGGGCCCTCACAGGCCCCCACGGGAGGCGTCCACTGCACTTACTCCTGTCCCAGCGCCCAGCACACAGCTCATTCCCCTCATCCCTGCTCCCACCCCCCGGAGAACTCCCAGCGCCACTCAGTCTCAGGAGGACTGAGTCTCCCCTGAATGCCCTCAGTCTGCCAGCACGCATACACGGGGACATGCCCATTTCTCCTGGCGGGCTGTTTTCCAAGGCTTGCCCCACTCACGGGTTCTAACACCTGGGAGCGGGCCGGTAGCTCCTGCTTATCCATCACGTGTTCATTTCCCCGCACGGGCCAGAACCCTGGATTCTCCGTAGAGGGGAAACCGTGCACCTACCGGCAGTGGACACGGTTCTGGTCAACGCTTGGCATCTGGAAGGGTTTGGTCACTGACTCTGGCTTCACCTGACGGCCCCCTCCCTGCCAGTCCCTGGCCCTGCACTAGGTGCTCTCTGACTCTGCCACATTCACTTTCACAACAGCGCCCAGAGGGAGGCAGGGACAGTCCCTTCCTACACACGAAGAGGCTGACTTGGGTCAATTAAGGAATGAGCCCCAAGTCACAAAGCCAGCCAGGGGTGAAGCTGGGCTTGAACTCAGGCTGCAGAACTCCAGACCTGTCTCTTCACTGCCCTCAGCAGCCTGCACCTTATCCTTAAGGAGCCCGCCTCAGTAAGAAGCCCTGACTACTATCAGCTATGTGAGCTGGAGCACATGGAGGGGCTTCAAAAGGCAGGAGGCCCTGCTCTCCCCCCTTGGTCACTGCCCCCAGAATTCTCATCTTGTGTCTACCCACCAGTACTCACCAGTATCACCATAATCCCAGGCCCTGAGATCCCATAGCAAAGCCTGCCTGGTCATTGTTACAACCAACTCCTACTCAGCCTTCAAAACCCAGCCCGAATTGCCTGCTCTGAAAAGGACTTCAACTCCACTCTATCCCACCCACTGAGTCAGATGCTGGGGCACCAGAGTGCCCACTATGAGGCAACACTGAACTGGCCTGTCCGCAGCCCCCCCCTCGCCCCAAGGCTAGGACTATGCCACTCCTCTTCTCGTGGGGCCCCTAGAAATGTTCAAAGGCACTTGTTAGCTGAATCACACCATGAGGGGGAGTCAGAGGCGCCATGTGAGTTGGGCCCTGAAGGACCTGGGGAAAGGCAGGGGTGGACAAGTGTCCAGAAGCAGAGTATAGTGTGGAACTAAATGATTTATAGCTACTCTTCCAATGGGCCTCAGTTTTCTGGGGTTGTCAACCTTCCCATGGATCAGGCTGCAGAAACATCTAAACCTGCTTTGCACACCCACCACCGCAGAAGTGAGAGACAAGACCCCGAGAAGCTGTGCCTGAGTCCTAAAGTGGCAAAGGCTGGGGCTGGAGGAGGCAGAGAGTGTGAGACCACCTGACCCACGGTCCGATCTTAAACCCAGCTCCTACCTGACTTGCCACCACCTGCCCTGCCCCTCCCTGCACGATCCCAACCAGGGGCCCCATCTGTGGACAGAACTTCACGTATTAAGCTCACTAGAAACGTGTTCCTATCAACGCCACCCGGTGCCAGGGCACGAGGGGATGAGAGGCACCTGGACCGCCTCTCCTGTGATGGACGGGACAAGGCTTGCTTCACACCCAGCAAGTGGAGTGAGAGCTGGCACTCGCCTGCGGAGCCTCCGCCGCCTCTGGGAGCAAGCCCTGCCCAGGAAGCTAAGTGCCCATCCCTCTCTGAGGGGCAGAGACAGGCCCCGCTGGCCCTCAGCTGCTCAGGACCCTCAAGGCACCCCCATGTCTGCCCCTGGTGGCAGGAATTTCAGCCAAGGACAAAGCATGGGACCAGAGGGACCTCCCAGGCACTCTCTCTCTGCCTCTGTCCTCCACCCCGGGCCCTGGCAGCAGAGGTGGGATGAGTGTTTGCAGACAGAGTCAAGGATCACTGGGTGCACCCCCACTTCCCAGGTGTGCCTAGGGGCGCCCAGGCCTGTCTCCTCGGGTTGTGGCACTACCACCCTCCCCTTTTATGTGTTTCTCAGTGGCGACACTGGACGGGCTATTGGGGAGGGCACCCAGGCCATCTGTGGCTCCCCATGTACCCATAGGAGGGCCCCACATGGTGGGTGTCCACGTGACAGTCGTGCTCGGCTCTCTGCTCCGCTGCCCATCACACCTGACACTGTCACCGTCCGAAGGAGACAACACCTCTGATTCCCCCGTCCTTCTCCCCAGGTTGCAAGTCTTTTCATGCTGAGATGGGATTTACTTGACGTGTGTGGTCACTACCAAGTGCCTTGTGTGTGCCAGCCCCAGGCATGCAGTCAGACAGGCCCCTGCCCCTGCCCTCAGGGGATCGAGCTGCACACAGTAAACCTGGCCCAGCAGGGCTGACGGGAGGCTGCGCACAGCCTGCAGGGCTGTTGGCACCACTGTGATGTAAGCGTGCGGGTGCAAGCTCTGTCCTCGCGGTTCCCAGGGCCCCGGCACACGGGCCTTAGAGAACAGTGTGACTCATCCTCTATGTGGCCTGGCCTCCATGGACCACTCTGTTTCTCTTGTAATTCATTTAATAATGCAAAGTGTAAAGCATTACTAATTTCACAGCAAAATTATTAATCGACTAGAGGCCCGGTGCATGAAATTCCTGCTGGGTGCGGTCCCTAGGCCTGGCCGGAGATCCAAGTGCGAGCATCTGGCGTGGAAGGGCAGGTCACAGCTGAACTCTGGACTCAGGGCAGCATCTGGGCCGCTGGCCCCCGCACACCCCCCTCACCCCCACACCTGAGTCATGGTGCCCAAGTCTCCACACAGAGATGAGGTGAGCATGGCCAGACACTGCGGCCGGAGAGCAGTGTAGGCCTCTGGTCGGCCCAGTGGTGTCCCCCAGAAGCAGGGAGAGCAGCATGCTCTCTCCTGGCTGGCCTTGCAGACCAGCTCCTGCTCAAACCCACCAGGAGCCCAACAGGCCCCTGTGGTCCTGGCTGCTGTGGCCTGGCTCACCTTAACAAGTTTGTGCGGGTGCAGGGTGGGCTCCTCCTGGGCACCCAGCACCTGAGCTCAGGGGCTTCCCTGGTGGGCGAGCCCTGGTGTCCCAGGGAGGGATGCAGGGGAGTGAGAATGAGCTTGCATTCTTACAGCACCTCCATCCCTGTCACCCCCGCTCCAGGTTAGCCAGCGAGAGGTCACAGTGCATTGCCAATGCCAGCAATGTTCCGCGCTGCCCCCTGGTGGCCAGCACATGTAATAGCAAGCAGTCGAACTCCTGGCCTCCCTGTGGAACTTCCATCCAAGGGGACAATTTGCATATTAAAAATGTTGCTATTAAATATGTTGCTGCTGCTATCCAGAGGCACACACCTTGAGAACACGGAACAGGGTTCCGACGGGAAACCCTGCAAAAGCCCAGAAGGAGTCTTGCTTTGTGTTAGATCCCCTGCTCCTGTTGCAGGGCTTGGTGCCACACAGGCCTTCAGTCACTGCGTCTGCATGACTGAGCGAAGCTGCTTGGACAGGCCCGGAAAAGACACGGAGACAGGGGCTGAGCCCTGAAACCCACACCATCCACGGGGCAGAGTGTCGGCTGAGATGTGGGGCCTGCCTTAGGTCAACAGGTTGCAGGAGACTGTGGAGGCCGCAGCCTGAGGAAGCTTGCACATGACCTTCCGCAACCCTCCTACCTGTGAGGGAGGGTGCCCTTGCCGCACACCTGTCTGTGCTGCAGATTGATGCCCTTCATCACCAGCAGGGCCAGGGGGCCATTTCCAGGACAAAGCCGAGAGCTGGCCCCCACCCCCACCCCTCCAGGGCCGGGCTGCTAGGGCACAGCACCCAGGGTGCCTTCTCCCCAGGGGACAGAGCAGTGAGCCACCAACATTCCTGCGGGAACAGCCACTCCCTGAGTAGGTGGGAGGAGCAAACACGACTGGAAGAGAGGGTCCTGAACTCACTGCTCATGTGAGGCAGTTGGGTGCATGGTCAGAGCGTCAGTAACCATGTTTGGGTCTTGGTCTCCATCCCCCCTCAGCCCTGACACCCTGCTCTGAAAAGACCCATAACCTTGGAATCCAAGTAGGCTACACCACAGAGAACTTAATATGGAACTTGCCCAAATACCAGGTGTTTTACCTCTTTCATTGTATAAACCTCACGGACTAGTACAGTTATCTCTGTTTTATAGATGAGGAAACAGTCCTGGTAAGATTTAGTCATAGAAATTACAAGGAGTCTTAAAGAAAAAGATTAGTGAATAGAGGTCATCATTGTGGCATGAAGGAGGAGGAGGAAAAGTCCTAGAAGAATCAGGGCCCTTCAACCACATTCCCAACCCTATTCCTTCCACTACCAGAGGGAGCCCAGGGGTCGCGTGGACAGGCTGTAGTGCAAGGAGAGGGCCAACTGGGTAGGCATTGCCGCCCCTCTCCCCGCTTCCAGGACACAAGTGCCCGCGGGCTGCCTGCCCCTGCTGGGCTCACTTCCATGCGGCTGCATAGAAGTCTATGTCTTTCTCCTTCTGCCTGAGGCCCATCGCCTCCATCTCCAGCCTCTCCATGAGGTTAACCTTCTTCCTCAGGGAGTCCAGCTCAGGGAGGGGGGCACGAGCAGCCTGGGCAGTGGCCGCCAGCTCCATGTTCTGGGAGGTGGGCAAAGGCAGGGGACCTGGCTCAGGGCACTCTCGGGGCTGGGGAAGGCCCAAGTCCCTGCAGCCCCAGGAGAAGCCAGGGGCGGCCAAGCTGGTCCATGTGCAGGCCCATGTGTGGGGGTCCCACATGCTGTCACTGCAGCATCTCACCCCACAGCAGCTCCCAGGACAGCTGGCTCTCAGGCAGCGCTGCTTTGAGCAGGAAGGAGAGGTGTCCCAGGTCACATTCCTGGACCTGGGGCCACAGTGACTGGGGCATCCTAGCCCCCCACCCCAGGCCCACACAATAGGCCTCCTGCTCACATTGTGCCGGGCCTCCTGCAGCTCCAGCACCAGCTGGTACAACTGATGCCTGGTGTCCGCCAGCTGTTTCATCTTCTCCTCCCTGGGGGCGATGAGAACACGTGGTGAGGGCTCCTCAGAAGCACCCGGAAAGCCCACCACCTGGGAGACCACAGCGGGGAAAGAGGGGGTCCTGGCTTCTAGGCGTGAGGAGGGCGTCTACACGTGGGGCTACAAAAATGCTCTGGAGTCCAAGGTGAGCTTTAAGTTGTCACTGCTGCTCTCAGACTTCACCACAGACCTGAGCTTTCCTCTGAGGGTGCAGACAGGGAAGGAGTCCCCAGAGCCACTGCTCCCTCCACAGGCAGGCAGGCAGGGAGGGCCCCTGGCAGGGAGGTGAAGGCAGGCAGCTTCCAAGATACCGGGCATGGTGCCATCACCAGCTGCAGGAAACGGGGAGCAGGCCCACAGGACGGGACCAGAGAGTCACATCCTCCCTCCAGCCAAGAGCACCCACACTGGGCCCGAGGCTGAGCGGCAGGCTGCTGCTCTGAGTCTGCCATGTCTGGACTGGCAGGAGCCCTAAAGGCCCAGCAGAACCCTGCTGTGCAGGCCCGGGGAGGGGAGGGGAGGGACCGGGCTAGCCCAGGGCCCAACAGGGACCCAGCTCAAAGCAGAGCCCGGTCACTCCAGGGCACTGTGAGAGCTGCCCCGTTTGCTGCACCGCATGGCAGTGAACCACATGTGCGAGCAATGGGTGGTGACACACGGCACAAGAGCAGAAAGACCAGGGTCACTGGGGAACTCACAGCTCCTGCCTGACGCCTCTCAGCGTGGCCTTGATGTCCGCCAGCTCCACGGCCAGGTGCTGCGTGTCCTCGCTGGGGCGGCTGCTGGTGTTCCACTCCTGGGTCATGGTCACGACCAGCTACAGCAGGGCAGACAGGGGGTCTCACTGGCGTGCTCCTGTGCCCGGCACAGTGCCCACACTAGAATGTGGTGAAGAATGACCAAAAGACGGAAGAAAGTAAAAGAGAAGATGGCAGCCGAGACTGCAAAGCCAGGAAGGAGGCAGGAGAATGTGAGGGAGTTTTTAAGAAGCGGAGATATATTTAGTGAGACAGAAGGGCCCAGTGAATAGAGCAGGCTCCCCAAGCTCAACCTCTGTCCTCTCACAGGTGTATCAGGGGACTGTGCCCTGCAGGGAAAGTGCCCACATCCTGCCACCATGAAAATGGGCCAGGAGGACAGACAGTGTGCAGCTTGAGAGGAAGTCAGGATGAAGAGTTCGACCATAACTAGGCCCCAGACCCAGGCCCCTCCCCACCGTCCCCCAGACTGTTGGGCCACCCACAAACACACCTTCCTGCAATGGTCTTGCTCAATGAAGACCCTCCTGAGGCGACAGATCATGCTGCTGGAGAGGTACTCCACCTCCTCCAGGGCCATGTCTGGGACCTCCAACCACTGCAGGTCCAACACACTCTCCTGGTGGCGCGTCACCTGAGGGCACACAAGGGTAAGGTGCTGCGGAGGCCGAGCAGGGAGCAGCAGAGGGTCCCTGAGAGCACCCGCCTCCCAAGGCCACGCCCCCTGGGACCTAGGCCCACTCTCCCACAGCTGACCCACCTCACTGACATTATTAACCCTCAGCCACCAAGTTCCTGTGGGGGGCGGGCAGGCTCCTCAGCAAGTGCAGCCACACTCTGCAGTGGAGCCCTTTCCTCACACACCACTGCTGCTGTCACACTAGCTCAAGGAGGACACTGACTTCCCACCAGACAGCACTCCTCCCAGTGTGGGAGCTCCCTCAACTGTCCCAGGGATTTCAGTTGCACCATCCATGTGTCACACAAAGAGGGTAAGCCTTGGGAGGGGAGGGTCAGGAGGGATAGCATCTTATTCTTCAAATAAAATCTAACGCGAAGATGGCAAAATATTAGAGCGCTTATGTCAGAAGGTTGGGTCCATGACAATCTTATTTTTTGAGGAAACCTTTCATAACCTGAAATACTTCTCAGGTGAGCCTGGATCTCATCCCCACAGGCCACACAGGACCACCTGGTTCCCCCTTTCTGCCTGGTGCGAGCACAGGCCCACGGCCTCATCCTCACTGGGCAGCCTCTCCTCCAACTGCCGACATTACCTTCTTCAAACCAGGGACATGCCCTTGACGGGGAATCAAACCTGCGACCCTTTGGTGGGCAGTCCAACACTCTAACCACTGAGTCAAACCAGCTAGAGCCTGGACCCGCAGCCTAGCCCCCTGGCAGGAGCAGGTGAACTCATCTCAGTCCAGGGCTAGAAGCACCAGGGGGTCCTGCACCTGGTGCATGGGCTCCAGAGTAGGAAACCCCTCAGGGCCCCAGGCCAGGACACCCGCCCCCAGTTTGGAAACCTGTGAAGACCCCTGAGTCCCAGGACTGCCAGGGCCCAGGTGGGTGGGGTCTGTGGAGACCTTAGGGGGGCGGGAGAGGAGCCAGGGCACCCGCAATGGGACAGGGAGTCAGGTGTACTCACCCCTGCCACCAGCGGACTCTGTAGAAAGAGCTCCATGAGCTCGCGGACAGTAACGTCCATCCTGAGGCTGTGTCCACCGTCCATCGCTATGCACACAGGCTCTGGGCCCACCGTCTCTGTGCCCACCAGCTCTGTGCCAAGCACTGCCAACGGCTACTCGTCCCACATTCCAATTGGCTCCTCACCCCACATTCTAAACTGCTATTTGCACCACATTCTAAACTGCTATTTGCTCCACATTCGAAAAAGGCTCTTTGCCCCAAATTCTAAACGGCTCTTGAGCCTGTATTCCTAACTGCTCTGGGCCCCGTATTCCAAAGGGCTCTAGCAGGGAATACAGCTGGGTCAGGGGCTGTGGCAGCTCCCTGTCAATGCTAGTGCGTTGGAATACACAAAAATGATGACACACTCCCTATGAAATTTAAAATCTTTCTGGGCACATGAAATATGAGGAAATATGTCTACATCCTATGTACTTATAAATGTAAATTAACCACTTCAACATAATCTTGCTAATCTCCATTTTTAATTATTTTTTCCATCAGCCAAATTGCAGAAATTTGATCAGTTCCTTTGAAGTAACCATTCATTTTATTTTGTTAAGTCTGACCTAGTAGCTCAGCTTGGGAGTTCTCTTTCCCATCACATGAACGGAGACCCTCCAGGTGGTAGTTCATACATTACAACACCTAAACCCACCAGTCAGCTGCCTACAAAATGTATTGATAGAATATTAACTAGTAAGTCATTTAGAGGAAATAAAAATGAACAAAATAAAGCTGCATATTTGGGAAATATTTGAACAAAAAGAGCCTGTGCATAGCTTTCTGGGCAAGGAGCATTAAACCAGCACATGCAAGAAAGACATTTAGAGAACAGATATGCAGGTATGTCAGAACAAATGTAAACATCTAGGCTGTCAATCAATGAACTAAAAGTGTTTAATTATTTTCTAAACTAGTAATGGTTTTATTTTGGTTAACTAAAAATTTATTTTGATTTAAAATAAATTTAATTTTTTTAAGTAAATGAAATCTTTGGACTTATGATAGAGGGGGGACAAAGTACCAATTAGCATTTTTAGTGACTATCCAGCTTCAATAAATACTACAAATTCCTTAAAGTCAAAGAAAAAAATGAAAAAAAAGCCCACCTACAGGTGTTATTTTTTCATAATCACCTAAATCAATTCCTCTTATAGAACCTACCAGAAATCTAATAGCCTTCATTTGTGGGAAGCATGGTGAGATTTAAAATAATGGGAAAGAATATGTGATCAAAATGGGAAACAAATTTATAAATGTAGTTACCTGAACTGAGAACACAGCAAATTACATATAACTTAGAGATTCTTGATATATTGAAAATTACTTCTTTTATGATTATGCAAATCAGGATTTGAGTAATGGTTGACTACATGAGCTTATGTCAATGAGATATTAACTGGATGCTAAAATTTTAAACTCTCTGCTTCCAAATTTCAGGGCCAATATTTCAGAGAAATGTAGCCAAATGTATGAGACTAGAACTGTTTTAAAGAAAACACATAACAGTGACATAGAAAACAGGGTCAGGCAGACTGAAACCACAAGAGTGCGTGCAAGCCAGGCACAGTGATGAGCACGTTGCACACATTATCGCTCATTCAATCAACTCAAAGGCCTCAAGGTGTTCCATCGACTCCCACTGACCTAGCTGAACTTTGGACCTCAGGTATGCAGAAATTCTAGGAGGAATATAAGGTTTTCTTTCCTGAAAACCCGTTCCATGCCCAGGTGGCTGGAGCATCATTCCATACACTGAAAGGTTGTGGGTTTGATTCTGGGTTTGATTCCCGATCAGGCCATATACCTAGGTTGTGGGTTCAGTCCCCAGTCAGGGTGCATATGGGAGGCAACCAATCAATGTTTCTCTCTTACCTAAATGATATTCTCTCTCTCTCTCTCTCTCTCTCTCTCTCTTTCTACCCTCCCCCCTCTCTAAAATCAATAAGCATATCATCGGGTTATGATGAAAAGAAAATTGGTTCTATTAGATCTTAGAAAACTTAGAAAGTAATTTTCAAATTTTAATAGTTACAAATTCCTACCAAAATTCCCAATAGTTTCAGAGAATACCTTGACTTGAACTAAACCAACAATTCAATTATTTTATTTATACAAGCAGTTTCACTGCCATCTGAGTCAGACCCTCAGAATGTTCTGCTGTTGGATTGGAAATCAATAGATATAGCTCTACAATCAGATTCCTAGTTGTGAAAAGTTGAACAATAGTGTTTAAACATATGATGAGTCATTAGCAAACATCTCTACACTTAAGATATGTGGACTGTACATGTGGGATTCTGCAAGGGGATGAGGAAGAGGGGAAGGTGAGAAACAAAAAATAGTCAGAATCCCTTACTTGGAGAAAGTTATTAATAAAGCAAAAGTGTTAAGAAAGAACTGGGCAGCCCTAACCGGTTTGGCTCAGTGGATAAAGAGTCGGCCTTTGGTCTGAAGGATCCTGGGTTTGATTCATGTCAAGGGCATGTACCTTGGTTGCAGGCTCAATCTCCAGTAGGGGAAGTGCAGGAGGCAGCTGGTCAATGTGTCTCTCTCATTGATGTTTCTAACTCTCTGTCCCTTTCCCTTCCTCTTTGTAAAATCCACAAAGTATTTTTTAAAAGAGAAAGAACTGGACATGTCTGTATCCTTTCATACATGAAATAAAAATATGTGACATAATTACTTAGACAGGCTCTTTCCAGCCTTCATTTTGCAAATACAAAGAAAGTGGGGAGGAAAAAATTGAGCTCTTTAGAGCAGCGGTCGCCAACCTTTCAGACCCTCATGGACCACCAGTTGGCGACCGCTGCCTCAAAGGTTTCCTTAAACCAGAAGTCGCCAAACTTTCGGACCTCACGGACCACCAGTGGTCTGCAGGCCACCGGTTGACAACTGCTGCTTTAGAGGGCTTAGGGAAACAGAGACTATCTTGGATTATTTTCTTTCTCCAAGGAGTGTTACAATGATTATTTCTGTGGGAGAGATAATCAACAAAGTCTCCAGTATGTCTACAAAGTTAAAAGCACAATTGGAATAAAAATAGGAAAGATTCCCTTTTCAATGCCCTCTTAGAAAGCAAATATCAACCTAAGGTGACACAGCCAACTATATGTCCCATGTATTTTTCTAACAAAAATAAAAAATGCCAATAAGCGCTGTCCAAAATCATCAAGCGAGACTCACAAGGGAGCAGTGGACAGTCTGCGCATTCAGTGACACCTCTGCACTGTGCTGTGGCTCAGCTGAGTCCTAAAAGAGCAGGTCCCATGGAACAGAAAATGAATGAGTTTGGTTTTATATAGAGTGACCACTGGTGCTTTGTTCAAGATACAGATTCTTTTCATGGAAATAACGTAAAAATTATTGTATGAAGAATCAGTTGCTTTTGAAGTTTCCTTTAACAAAGTGTTACTCTATAAAACAAAAGATGATCCTCAGCAGTAAACCTTGAAAAAAGGGAAATCCAGAATGTCCTAACCTTTCTATTATCTTTTCCCTCCACAACCCTAGATACCATAATGTGTTCATGTAGACAAAGCAAAGGAGAGAAAAAGTAAAGATAAGGTAACACCAGAAAGAGGACTCTGTTAGAGACTCTACCTAAGTTATTAGCTAGGATTCTTATTATACAGTTTATAGAGATATAAAAAGATGTGTCAAAAATAGAACATACCTTGTCATGTCCTGAATCTGCTCCTCTGACCATATCTGGTGCCACGTGTTCAATAGTGCCACAGAACAAACACAACAAATCGAGGAGGTATGACAGGCGACAGTTTCTGGTGGGAGGCAGGAAATTTTGTAGGTCATATTTTATGAACTATGATATAAAAAGGCTAGGATAACATAGCTAAATTCTATTGTGATTACTGTTTATTGTAGCACCTAAAAAGAAATAAATGAAATACCGACCATATTTTATTTTTATTTATATATGTATATATCATAATTAAGTAGTTTTAATATATTTATTAGCATCGACCTATGACACCAGGAGGTCACAGTTTGATTAGTCAGGGCACATCTAAATATCCTCTCTTTTTTTTGGCCTTCCTTCCTTTTTTTTTTTTCTTCGCAAAATCTTTATTGCTGAGAGCATTACAGATGCCCCTCTTTGCCTTCCAGAGCCCCCATCCACCCAGATCCCACCCCATTCCAGGCCTTCACAACCCCATTGTCTGTGTCCTTAGGTAATGCATACTTGCATAGAAGATTTTTCCTTAATATCTTCCCAAACCCCTCAATCCTTTCCTCTGAGATTTGTCAGTCTGTTCTGTTTCCATGACTCTGATTCTATTTTATTCATCAGTTTATTTTGTTCATTAGATTTCTTGTTCATTTATTTTGATTTTTAAATTCAGTTGCTGATACAGATGTATTTATTGCCATTTTGTTGTTTTTCTTCGTCTTCTTTCTTCTCCCTCTTCCTCTTCCTCTTCCTCTTCCTCTTCCTCTTCTTCTTCTTCTTCTTCTTCTTCAAGAATACTCTTCAACATTTCATATAATAGTGGCTTGGTAGGGATGAACTCCTTTAGTTTTTTCGTGTCTGTGAAGCTCTTTATCTGACGTGATAGCTTTGCTGGGTAATGTTGGTTATAGGTTCTTGTTATTCATCACTTTCATTATTTTTTGCCAATCCCCTCTGCCCTGCAAAGTTTCTGTTGAGAAATCAGCTGACAGTCATATGAGTGCTCCTTTGTAGATAACTATTTGCTTTTCGCTTGCTGCTTTTAAAATCCTCTGTTTTTCTTTAACCCTTCGCATTTTAATTATGATGTGGACCTCTTTGGATTCATCTTGTTTGGGACTTACTGTGCTTCCTGAACTTGTAAGACTATTTCTTTCACCCTATGGGGAAGTTTTCTATCATTATTTATTCAAATAGGTTTTCAAGATCTTGCTGTCTCTCTTCTCCTTCTAGTACCCTCATAATGGGAATGTTGGTACACTGGAAGTTGTCCCAGAGGCTCCTTACATTATCTTCATGCCTTTTTATTCTTTTCTCTTTTGTTCTCCTTAGTAGGTGTCTTTTGCTTC